CTTTACCTTTTTCTTTCAAAGCTCAAAATACATCATTACAAGACTAATTAATATTCATTAATAAGGAAGACTTCTACTTAAAATAATTTAGTGTTTAGCATCTCTGAAATAAGAGTAACTTTCATTAAAATAATAAAAGCAGACATTCCCTATTAAATATTTTTAATCCAAATTATTAGAGCTTAAAAAAAGCTTTTCCTTGTACTCATTTCCTAATAATTTAATCACAGAAGTGATTACAACAAAGGAAGATTTTTCACTCATCAGAGTGAAAGGAAGAGTTTTAATGTAAACAGTATTTCTTTGCTGAGTTCATTTGATTATCTGAGCTGCATTAGAATAAAAAAAAAATTCCCTTACTTGAATAAAAACCAAAATTTAAAATAAAGAGTAATTAAAAAGTAAAGTGATAAAAACTGAGCCCTCATCCAAATAACTGCTAAAAGAGAATCAATGCTATAATTGTAATAAGACACAGGATTACTAGAGAAAAATAAAACCTACATTACCAAAATTCAATCAGAGTGGATGTTATGGCTTGTCTGTTTTAATAAACCCTATAGGCACCAAAGGTAATTTAATTATACAGGTCATTTGAAATAGATCTTCAGACAATTTGTAGCTTCTTATAATATATAGAGAGATACATATATTTCATTTTCTTAAAGATTTATTTATTTTTAGAAAGAGAGAGAGCAAGCATGGGGAGGGGCACAGGGAAAGACTCTAAGTAGACTCCCCACTGAGTGCAGAGCCTGACATGGGCTCGATCTCAAGACTCTGAGATCATGACCTGAACTGAAATCAAGAGTCAGATGCTCAACTGACTGAAGCACACAGGCTTCAGTACACACACACACACATAAGCACACACACACATTTATGTACTAAAAGAGAATGCCACTAAGGTAGCTGTAACAAACAGGCACTGTCCTTAAACAATAAAATCAATGATTTTCTAAAAAAGAAACAGAAACAGAACAAAATATCTAGTAAGAGCAAGAATGACATAATTAGCAGAAGAAACTGGAAGACTCAGTTTAACAAATACCATTAAGAGAACTTTTATAATTAACTTCTGAACAGGAGTGAAATCAGGAAAAAAGTGCCTATATGACCAGAGGTAAACAGATGAAAGTACACAAGTCCTGAATATATCATTACAAAAAAAAAAAAAAAAAGAAAGAAGAAAGAAGAAGAGAAAAGAAAAGAAAAGAAGGCAACAATATTTAGTATCTAGTGCACCCATCAATTACATTACAGCCAAGGAAATTTTCATCAATCAATTACATTGTTTGATGAATGAGCTTTAGTCAATAAATTAAAAAATAAATGACAAAAAATAAGTCATGCCAAAAACCAGTGTGGTAACTAGTCTATTTCCTATGGAGAGAAGGGAGTTTACTGAAACAATGCTTGGTGGATAAAATAATAAACGAAGTCTTAATAAGACTAATTTTCTTAAATGGTTAAACAATAAAGTATTTACATTAAAAACCTCTCGTTATTTGTGATAGACTCAAAACTAGGTAGAAGAGATTCTTATTTATGTTTGCAATGGCATGGATATTTGTGCCCCTCTCTCCCTAAATCTATGTTGAAATACCAATGCCCAGGGAATCCCTGGGTGGCTCAGTGGTTTAGCATCTGCCTTTGGCCCAGGGCGTGATCCTGGAGTCCCGGGATTGAGTCCCGCATTGGGCTCTCTGCATGGGGCCTGCCTCTCCCTCTGCCTGTATCTCTGCCTCTCTCTCTCTCTGTCTCATGAATAAATAAATAAAATCTTTAAAAAAAAAAAAAAAAAGAAAGAAAGAAATACCAATGCCCAAAAGTGAAAGAGACTAAGGTAGTGCCTTTGGGAGGTGCTTAGGTCAGGAGAGTGGAACCCTCGTGAATGGCATTAGTGCTCTTATAGAAGAGATCCCACAGAACTCCCTAGCACTTCTACCAGATGAAGATATAAGAAGTCTTCAACTCAAAGAGGGCACTCACCTGACCAAACTGGCACCCTGATCTTGGACTTCCAGACTCCAAAACTATGAGAAATAAATTTGTTGTTTATAAGACATCCATTCTCCGGTACTTTGTCACAGAAGGCCAAATGAATGAGACAATGTTCAATCCAGAGGAATCCTTTTTTTTTTTTCTTAAAGATTTTATTTATTTATTCATGAGAATACACAGAGAGGAGAGAGAGAGAGGCAGAGACACAAGCAGAGGGAGAAGCTCCCATGCAGGGAGCCCAATGCGGGACTCGATCCTGGGTCTCCAGGATCACACCCTGGACTGAAGGTGGTGCTAAACCGCTGAGCCACCCAGGCTGTCCAAAGGAATCTTTCTAATAACGTTCAGAATCAGTTATGTCAAACCTTGCAGCTTTTGGGTCCCAATTATTATTTTCATCCCTCACAGAGTCTCCATCTCTAAGACGGCTACTGCCCATTAGTAATTATATACTTCCGCAAGGCAAAAAGCTATGCTATTCTTCAAGTTCAATACTGATAATCACCTTGATATTGAAAATCATCTTATCTTTGGATTTTTTTTTAAAAAAATATATATACCACATCCAACTCCCGCCCCCGCCAAATCAGAGAATCAGACCCTAATTCAGACAAAAATCTTCAAATCCGCTACCCTTTCTCCCATCTCTTGTTAGAATTCATGGTATGACAACTCTGAATCACTGTTCACCTACATGAAGACTATCCTTTTTTCTTTTCCTTGCAGGCTGAGTTGAAAGGCAGGTCTCTACTCTGCTGACACAGTAAGAAACCCCTGTAACTAAGGATATGGATGGGAAGGATAAAGAATGGCTCTTTGCTCCCAGTTAGGATTATAATAGTTTGCCTCTGATCTTTAGCATGCATTGCCTGGAAGTGCCAGGAATCAGATATTCTATCAGGAATATTAAAGAAGAGCTAAAAAATCTAGAAAAAAGAGCAAGGGTAATAGTAGTAAGCATTCTCTCTAGATACAATGACCTAGTCACATGACTGTGGGTATGATCAGAACTGGCTACAGGGACTGGAGAGGCTATTGCATTCTGAAAGGTGAAAAAATTATACAAAAGGTCTCTTTCTTAATTTATGTTCCTTAAGACTCTAAAATCAGGAACATCAAGGGGAAATGGATGATTAAAACCTTAACATCCTTTATATATGAAAAGTAGACTATAATACCTGACAATGTATAAAAATTACCTTTTTCACAGTTTTATCTGGTTCAAGAGCAATATCTGGAATGTTTGCATCCACCATCAGGGAAAATAAATTCAAAATCAGGTTAGAATACCTAAAGGAGAGTGGAAAAGAAAAAAAACAGCAACATGTTAGAATTTTGCAATTCTTTTTCCTGTCAAGAATACTCCTAGAAGTAGTCATACTTGGATCTTTATTATTACTTCTACAAAAAATAGAATGTGCGTAGAATGTGCCATTACCAGCTGTCTCAATGAAAAAGTAAGTTTGAATAATTATCTTATTCTGGGGTCTTGATAAAGGGCCCTTTCTAAGTCCCACACTATGGGATAAACTTTTGGAGTAGCCATCCAATGACATTCTTTTCATTCTTACAGTGAGGATAATTTCTCTAGAAGAAATCTAAGGAGAATCCATTTTATACCTAATTAGCATTTACTAAACACTGCTAGATGATGTCCAAGAATCTGCTACCTTAAGACTACCTCAATGTATCATAGATAAAGGAATGAAAAAGAGTTGCTGTCATTCTACTGATCATTCAGGAACATCCCCTCAGGGATATAAATCACCATTTTAGGAACTATAGCAACTTGTCTGGATATAAGCAATCCTAAATGAAGGAGAAAACAGCTAATACTCTACTATATTAAGAATAGGCTAGATATATAAATAATATCATCTTTAGACTATGCTGGCCCCTATAGGAACTAAAGGTTTATTTTCACCAAACCTCAAACTCTCCTCTTCCTCTCCCTCTAGAAAGAATGGTACTATTCCAAATGTTCATTTTCGGAAGTGGTGCCTTGTGGGGAAAGGTATAAATATATACTGGGTTCCTGCTCCAGAACACTCTCTCCTTGGGCAGATATAATTTTTCTGGAGGGCTCCTTTTTAGCACTGCAGTAATAAAAGAAGTTCAGGTTTGACTCTGGGGGATGGATAAGAATAAAGGACGCTTTGGTTTTAGGCAATAAAGGCTTTTTAACTGATCTCAGTAATGTATCAACAACTACCTTGCATGTTTTCTCTGAAGGTCAGACATTAGGTGATGCAGAATCTTTATTCCAGCCATCTACTTATCCATAATATAAAAAAGCACAACTTGTTACCTAAAAACTGGCTATTATTGAACTATCATGATAATGGAACTTGTAGACAAAAATGACTGTTCATATAAACCTCAAATTACCTATGTTATCATTTTTGAATTTTTATATTGCCCATGAAAATCAAGAGGGACCATAATTGGAAAAAAAAAAAAAAGGGACTACAATGAAAACTTATACCTTGAAGTCATCTAATCAAATTAGGCCCTAACTCACTTATATAGTAACAGCTAATCAGCTGTAACCTAGCTTTAAGTTACTAATTTTCTTGAGAATGGATTTTTAAAAGAAGTATCACAGATGTTATTCCATTTCTACTCATATAATAACTGTATTTATTCAACCAACAAATACTCTATACATTGTTCTAGGCACAAGGACTACAGTGGTGAATTGAGCAAACAGGGTCCCTACATTCATGAAGTGGACATTCTGCAAGGGAATGGGGCAAGGGGATGGGAAATCACAAAATACAATGATAACATAATTTCAAACCTGGCTGACTGATAAAAATATTTAAGGAAAAGAAAAACAAAAAATAGGGAAATGGGTCAGAGATTGATGGGGTAGGGAAAGGAACCATCAACCATCTTAGGCAGGTCTGATTTTATTCTAACTGTGCTGGGAAGCAGCAATTGAGTTTAAAGTGTGGAGCAACACACTCGGATATACATTTTTGTTTTACCCTTTTCAAGGGAAGTGTGAACACAGTCCCCCGCTAGCACAAATTATGCAGTTGAGTTTTCCACATTTAGGGGAATTGCAGGGTTAGGCACCTTTGGAGTACAATGAAGAAGGCTCACCCTAGGAAAACCACCTTCATGATCATGGTATCTCCCCTACCAGGTGAGTAGGAGATACACACATTTCAAAAGGAATGGAGTCAGGGAAACTATCTGACTGATGTCTAGGTAGGAAAGAAACAATATAGATGTTCTCAGGCTGTAGTTTAGAGATGGAGGGGCAGACAGTGCTGATGGTTTCAACGAAGTAGGGGGGAGAAGGCAGAGGAACTGAATGTCAAGGATTGAGCCTAAGCAATGGGAAACTATGGTTGTTCACCACAATAAGAAACAGAATGAGCAAAGAGCGGGACTTGGGACAGGGAAGCAGTAATGTTCTGTTTTACACACACTGAATTTGAAATGCCTACCAGATTCTTAGTCAAGATGTCAAGCAGACAGAGAACTCAGAGGGGATATCTGGGCTGATGGCATCAGTTCAAAACATTAGCATTTGGATCCTAATTAAAGTCACAGGTCTGGATGAAAATGCTGAAGGAGAGTTTGGGGGAGGGGAGGGGACAATCCAGAACTAAATGCTTTGTACTGACAATGAAACTTCTAGACAGTTCAGTATGTAAAGGTCAGACAGCAGAGTGAAGAAATCAGCAAAGCAGCAAAAGTAGCCAGCAAGGCAAAAAGAAAACAGAGGAGTGGGTTACACTAAATCTTAAGAAAGGTATTCAGGGACAAAGGAGTGCTCAACTGTGTCAAAGATGCTAGGAATCCATGAGATTTCATATAGGTAACTGTTTATCTTGATAAAATTAGTTTTAATAGCAGAGTAGGGCTGGAAGACTTACTGGAGAAGGCTGAAGGCAGAAGCAGCAGCAAGTTAGTGGAGACAGTGAGAACAGACCTTTTTAAAAGGAGATGGGCTATGAAAGAGAATAAAGAACTAGGGCAAGAATGCAGTATCTTACTAGACTTCTTCCCACTAGAGGTGAGTGGCACTCACCTCATTGTGACAACAAAACTGTCTCTGGACATTGCAAAATGTGCTCTGGGGGAAAGAAGAGCGCAAAATAGCTCCAGTGGTGAGAACACCATGGCTGTTGGCTTTACTTCAGTAACATACAGTTGCTGCACTGTACACATAAAATAGGAAGGCACACAGTTCTGATGAGAAATGAAGTAGCAGAAGGTAAGGTTATAGGATTGGATAAAAATGTGTAAGAAAGTTTAGAGAGAAAGGCAATGATAGTTTGAAGCCATAAAATTCAGTGGAGAAAAGAGAAAAGTAGGAATATCAGGTAGATTTTATATGGTGGAATGCTGACAAGACTGGATATATCAATGAGGTTACAGACTTCTAAGGAATGAATATAATGCAAAAATAAGCTGTAAGGATAGAAAATGCTGGTCAGAGAATGAAAAGCCTGAAACTGAGATTTTGGAGGGCTAAATTAATGGTACTGATGAAAGGGAGTGGACAAGGCTGGCTCTACATTGAGAAGGTGGCACTCAGATATCGGTTGTGGTTGGAGCATTCAACACGTGAATGCTGAGGGCACAGCAGCAGTCGTGAAGAAGGCAATACAAGTTTTCAAAGAACAGAGCATGATGGTAGCAATGGGGAGGATATCTATTGGTGTGATCCCACGATGTCTGTGCCTCTGCTTCTCTTCTTTAAGCAAGCAAGGAACCGCAATAGGGAGCAAGGAGGGCACCAAGCTTTGAGCTATGTAGGATATGGAAACAAAGAAGATCCACTTGAGAGGGCTGTAAGACCATGGTCTTAGCAGAGTACAGCCAGCTGCTAGGTCATTAAGAAAACATGCTCTTTCAACGAACCCTCAATTATTCACACTCTGCTCTGTTGACTAGACACTTTTTCCCAATCTTGCCATAAGGGAATCTCAGAATATATCACAGGGTAGATTCCCAGAGTAACACAGGGAGGGAAATGCAAGGCTCAATTTTGAAAGGGATATTTCAGAGGTTCTCAAAGCTGCCCATTAGATTCACCTGGGAGCTTCTTAAAAATATTAACGCCTGAGCCCAAGCCCAGACCAAGTAAATCTGACTGGCCCCCAAACTATTTTTCTCCCTAAAGTTCCCCCAGGTAATTCTAATGGACAGCCAGGATCTATGTTAAAATGTTTGCCTTCATGGAAGCATATGTGTGCTTCTCTTTTAAAAGGAAAATATTAATGTTTTCTGGAACATCTGTTGTTTTTAATTTAGCCACCCATGCTTCTATTATTGTAGCAAAGGAAAACAAAATGTAAATAAATATAAAATGGGATATTCTATAAGAAGTTTAAACACCCAATTACATTATAAAAAATCTATCACTACATTAACTGTATTAATCTTTTACCTCTGTTGCTATGAACCTGCATTTTTCCATTTAAGATAGGGCATGTGACCGTAACAGAAAGTATATATTAAACAGACTAGTCATTCAATATCCTACCCAGAAAAATAGATTTAAAGATTACTGGACATCTTTAAAAACATTACCAAAATAAAATAAAAAGTCACGTCTAAATTGTTCAGTGAAAACCTTCAACATTAGAAATAGAAATGCATTTAACTGTATCACGTGGGGTTTCCTACAGTGTTCCAGAGGTCTATTTCCCCTACAGTATATTCACTTTGCACCCAACAAATATCAAAAAAGAATCCTATTTTTTTAAAAAAATATTTATTTAATAAGTATACTACTTGAAGGAGGGAGAACAGTGAAGCTAATGATGAAAGGAAGTATGATCAATATAACATCATGGCCATTTGGTAATTATGCAAACATTCGCAATGTAAAAACTTTCGAATGCATTCCCAGTTTCAGAATTTTTACTGAAAAATTTAGGCCATCTCTGTATCCTAAGTGTCTATTAATGTTTGGCATACACATGGGTTAAGAGAAAGAGTTATGTTTCCCTTGGACATTTAAAATATTTTAGCATTACTCTTACCATGAGACAGCATTCAAAAACCAAATTTACCAATTAATTACTGGTGTAGTGGATACTGATTCATCATGTATTTTGTTACAAGAAAATCATAACACCATAATATGTGTTCTGTCATCTACACAACTGGAATCATTCATTACTTAGTTCAAAAAGGACTGCTGTGTTTACACAGTCCAATGTTAGTGAATGGTTTCTTGCTGCAGAAAACGATCAGCCATTAACAAAAACCATGAAAGAAGGTGGTTTGTCATTACTACAAACCCTAATTTTAAAAAGTGCCAAATAATCTTAGCTCTAAACACAACTTTTAAGTATCAGGTTCATTCTTATGTCATAAAGCCAAATTTTTTAACTAACAAAACCGTATTCTAAAATACAACATAAGATATAAATATTGGGGGCGCCTGGCAGCTCAGTTGGTTAGCATCTCATTCTTAGGTTCCACTCAGGTCACGGTGTCAGGGTCATGAGGCTGAGCCCTGCCATCAGCTCTGTGTTCAGCACAGAGTCTGCTTGAGACTCTCTCCCTCTCCATCTGCCCCTCCCCACCATACTCTCTCTCTCTTCAAAATAAATAAGTAAAATCTTTAAAAATATTAAAAATTAAAAAAAGAAATGCTGATCAAAAGATTAGGGTCCAACTTAACTATAGTGAAATTTTAAAAAACAAAAAATAAAGTTTTCATGAAGACTTAACATAAACTTACTTAGATTCATCTCAGTGATTTTTCTTAGTAGTGATAAAAGTTAACTTTGGCTCTACATTAATAACCTGCCTGTTTTCTCATTCTACTGAATTGCTACTAATCCATTATCAATGACAGTTTATAAAGCACATTGTTTTCCTTCTGCTTTCAGTAAGATAGAGCACCTCTGACATTTCTCTAGTTATCATTTCATATCATTCCATCCGCCTCGTCACTGAGATGCCATGGTTCCATCTAGTTTTTGGTAGGCTTTGACTACTTTAAATTAAAAATCCCAGATATTAAAGTGGACTCTCATCTCATCTCTCTGAAAGTGCTTCTGTATCACCAGACAAATCAAAGAGCACTGATCTTCTCATTATTCTTCTAGCATTATTCTTTTAGCATTTCTGGTCAGTAAAACTGAGTCACTCTGCCACCTAAAGGATAGTGTGGCTATTTGTAAAACGTACAGCATAGTTTGTGACACATGGTACAGACTGAGTTAACAATGAAGGACTAATGAGTCACTGCAAAGATGAAATCTGATTAACAGAGTACAGCCATTCTCCTAGAACCAGCAGCATCGACATCACCCAGGAACATGGCCTCATCTCAGATACGAAGCAGAAGTTCTGGAGGTTCTCATATAGATACCAAAGGTTCTCATTTAATAAACATACAGAATGTCTATGTTCTAACCACTGTATAAGTAGCCGAGGTTACAAAGACAAGACAGAGCCCACATGCATAGGCAACTTATTATGTATCGGTTATATTTTCACTGGGAAAAGGTGAAAGAAGGTATGTCTCCTCCTATGTGGTAGGGGTTTCTGCAAAGTTAAGCTAGGTCAAATGATCCTGTCATTTTTTACTAACCATCACAACAAACATTATTTTTTTTCCCTGATGATATATGATGTTAAGTCCTAGGTAAACTAGGATGAAGAAAGCGGAGATAGAATGGTATTGGAGAAAGAAGAAGGGATAGAGAAAAATCAACTGTCTTATAGCAGGATAACTGATGAGGTGCTAAAAAGAGACAAAATTATATGTAACATTTATTCTTCCATCATTTAACAAACTTCTCAGAGCTCCTGAAGAGCCACCAAAACTAAGGCTGATAATGTTGCTACAGAATAAAAATGAATGGATTAGTATCACTTTAAATCAGCTAAATGCTTCATTCTTTGATAAAGAAGAAGGAAATGAGCTTGGGAGAAGGAAAAGAACTTAATATCGTGATTATAATCCTTCAAGACTGGCTTCAGGGAGATGTGAATGGTTACGAAGCTGCTTAATCTTTTCTCTCTCCCAGCACTGGCAAAGCACACAGAGCATATTTTATTAAAATGATTTTAACCGACTGATTTTGAAACCTCCATGTTCACCTAATCTTATATAATGCCAGCTTCCTATTTGGTGGGATTTAGTAATCATATAATTAGTGGGACAGCAAGAAATT